ATGTATAAAATTCAGAAATAAAATTGCTTCTGAGGGGAGCTTTTTCCTGTATCACTAGGAGCCAGTGGAGAGTTACCTTAGTATCTGGATGCCATTGTAGAAGACTTTTTGGTTTCTTTTATTTCTGGAATATATGTTTGTGGAGCTAAAGTGGAAAATTTTTGACAAATATATTGCATAAACAGTGTTTTTTTCTGTATAGTATGTAGTTATTATTTTAACAACTTTATTTGAGGTATAACTTATATACCATAACATTTACCTATTTTAAGTACACAATCCAGTAATTTTTAGTAAATGTGTAGGTTATACAGCCATTACCATAGTCATTTTTCACCATTTCTGTCATCCCCAAAAGAGCTCTGTTGCCTGATTGGATTTACTTCCCCCTCCCATACATAGCCCTGCGCAACTTCCATCTGCATTCTGTCTCTAGAATTGTGTCTTTTCTGGACATTTCATATAAATAGAATAATGTAAATTTGGGCTTCTCTGACTGGCTTCTTTCATTTGGCATGGTTGGAATTCATCCATGTCGTAGTATGTACCAGCAGTTCATTCCTTTTATTATTGAATTATTTTTATCATTATGCTTTTTGATAGCTATTGCTAATATTTGTATTCGAACAGAATGCTAAAGCTGACATGGAATTATAGATTACTATGTTATTCAATAGAACTTTCTGTTGTGATGGAAACGTTCTGTGGTGAACTGCCTGTGCAAAGCCACTGGACAGGTGGAATGAGAGGCTGGAGGGACATAGGGGAGGCAGCCAGGTTGCCTTAGGTCTCAGGCCCTGCAGGCGTCATGGCAGTAAGCTACAAGAGTTGGCGGCCACTGACTAGGGACCCTGCATAATTGAGTGGGATTGGCTTTGCCATCTTGTACTTTTATTCCATCTGATTAGGACCCTCTTGAAGTAGATCTGTCTTATTTATGATTTTTGCTATAGTGTCTGTCTCGTATACAGTGTCATTCATGTAGAGGCAGCTGTAAATGTTGAGCAAACCGTTGAATTTTATCTCTAATCATGAGTGTCTTGGTGATTAGATAGAGCAGTCAGTTTTTCTCTTTTACTTCCATGTAGATCTGGTGTGCTTGGCCTTACAAGCAGTCATCAGCCCGCCTGTATGACTACCACCACACATATCTTTGAGATGATTCTTAACTTTTGGTCAAACACGATTACTTTGTGAAAGCCTTAGGATGTGTTTAGTTAATAAAGTAAGCGTCACCATAAAATCTGACCAAGACTGCTTGGTACCTCGACTTTACAAAGAGGGAAGCCTTTGTATTCTTCTGTTCTTAGCTCTGGCAGCTACTCATATGGTTAAAGGAACAGGTCGTGATGCTGGTGTCGGTGCTGGGCAGTGGCCCCCGGGCCGGCCTCTGCTTTGGCCCCCTTCTGGGACCCGCACTCTCTCTCTGGGTCCGCTCCACCTCTGCCATTGACACAGATCATGAGGAGATGGTGCTGGAATGCTCCAGGGCTGCCATCAACAGGACAGCTAAGAAGTCCTGTCAGTTGCTTAAGCCGTGCATGGGCCTGCATCCTGACTGCTGCTCAGTGTTTTTCACTGGACTGTAAACTCTTAGTGGGCACAGCCATTGCTCATTGTTGCTTTTGTACTGAGTGCTTTCTGTAATGCTGTGTACATTAGTACTTGTTGAGCGATCTGTTTGAAATGTGACAGACTATGGATGGGAAGTTACAACGCATCTTGATTTTTTTTTCTTTTGGTACCAGGAATCATCAGTCCCCCACCCTGCATCTTGATTCTTAATGGTTGTTTTACCTAAAGATATAAACTGTTATCTCAAAGGGTATGTGAAGTACTAGCCTAACCCTTTTAGATCTGTGATACATGTTGTACAGCTATACATTTAAAATCTTGAGAGTCAGAGATACTAATATTAACTTACTTAGGTTCTCTACTAAATGTCTTGAGTTGGAATGAACCTCATGTCTGAGTTGAGAGAGGTTCCTTATACTTACTCTACTAAGCAAACCTTCTCCCATTTAGTCTTTGCCATCTGCCCTGGCTGGCCTTTCTCTGTCGTCTTTTCAGGCTCATCTTCTCATCTTTAATTCTAGAAAGCCTTTCTGAGCATATTTATTAAGTTAGTGTTACAGATTCTTTTTCACACTTTCTTACTATGTTCATCTCAATACTGCTATTTCAGCTATTTTGGGAGGCTGTTTGAGGGCATACATTGGTATGTCTTAAATGTCTTTCTGTTCATTTGTATTTTAGCTTGTTTACAAACTGAAATTACTAAAGTTTTCTCTATTCATTCTGATAGTCACTGTTTTTAATAGATGATTTTAATCCATTTATATTTATTATGATTAGTCATTTATTTGGATTTATTTTGTGTTCACTTGTATTTTTACTGATTTTTTTTGTGTGTATGTGTATCTACTTTCTATTACATGACCATTTTCCATTTCTTCTGTGTTGTAGGTTGTATTTCTTGTCTTTTTTTTGGGAGGGGAGATTCTAATTTTAAAGTCTTAAATTTTGTCAGTAAAGTCTAGTTACACAGTATTTTTTCCTTCTCAGTCATTAGCATGGTTAATTATCTCATAAACATTATTTATGTTACTGTTTTTTTAGGAGTTTGGATTTCACTTTTTTAAACCCTCATATATTACTACTTGAATAGTTCGTGGTTGAACAGTCAACGAATTCTCTGCTAACTTGTTTCCTGTGTCCCCAGGATTTTTAGGAGTTTGGATTTCACTTTTTTAAACCCTCATATATTACTCCTTGAATAGTTCGTGTTTGAACAGTTAACCAATTTTCTGCTAACTTGTTTCCTGTGTCCCCAGGATTTTCTGTGTGTCCACTTTTCTTCTTGCTCAACTGCATCCCATAAGAATGAGCTCATCTCCACTAGCGATAAATTTTCTTAGCCTTTCTATGCCTAAGGAATTATTTTTTTCATTCTTTTATATGGCTGCATATAAAATACTAGGGTTATTTTTCTCATTTTTTTGAAGATATTATTTCATTTTCTCCTGACCTTTACTGCAGCTGCTAAGAAGTGTGCTCACAGTCTGTCATTCTGTTGAAGTAAGCTATCTTTCTTTGATAACTTAAGACTGTGTTTTTATTGTTGATAGTATGTGGTTTACCTACAGTGTATCTCTTGTGGATTAATATTTATACAGTCTAATACTCTTTTTGTCTCATCTCTTTTGTCAAGATATAACTAGCATAAGATGTGAGCTAATTTGTATGTATTCTACCACCATGTAGACCAAGATCTGGAGAACCCCTTCCTGATCAGTACAACTATGCAGACCATTTTCATGGTAAAGATTGATATCTAGAGTTCTGAAGAATTCTCAGTGTTGATCTCTTAATGTATTGGTTTTCTACCAGTCCCTCTTCTCGTGGAACTCCCATCAGGCAGGCATTGTGGCCTCCATCTCTGTCCCTTAGCTGTTATTTGGTTTTTTTACTCTTCTTAAATTTTTATCTGCTTACATTAAGTTCTGGACTTTCAGTGTCACTGTTTTCTGTCTAGATTAAGTCCTGTTGGTTCCTTTCATTGCAGTGATTTAAGTTTTTATTTCCTTTTCCTTTTGTTTTTTAGTAAGAGTCTTCAGGGTCTCACTGCATAGATTGGACTCATAGTGACCCGCCTGCGTTCAGCCTCCCAAGAGCTGGGGTTACAGGCGTGCACCACCATGCCCAGTCTCAGTTGCCATCTCAGCACGCTCTGGAGGTGGGGCTGGCACAGCAGGCCTGGGAATCAAATCTCCTGCCCCTGCATCTGCTTAAGCAGGCGCTTTAATCTGCTGAGCTATTTGGCTGACCTTTAAATTTTTATTTCTAAGATTTCGATTTTGTTTTTTCTTACTTAATAATATTTTGTGTCTGTACATCATTTCTTCTTGTGATAGCACTTTTACCTTCATTTTTTTACCATTTGACATCCTCCAGATAATTAATTTGACATCCTTCAGATTGCCTTAAATTAATTACTTCTAAAATCAGTTTCTTTCTAGTTATTTATTTTGTGGCATCCTTTTTTAGTATTAGATTTCTTCATGTGTCAGAACATTTCTTCTGCAACTTTCTTTTGAGTGGAAGGTGTTTCAATGTCTTCCCCCCACCCCCTTCCCTCCTTTTTGCTGTTCCTATTGGGGAGATTGTCAGATTGGTCCTGAAGCCAAAGGGTGGCTTGACATATTTCTTATTATAGAGGAGTGGTTTTCTCCCCCAACTTACTGTACCCATAGTCTCTGATTAAAGCCAAAACCTCAGGCGATAGAATTTGATTGCTTATTTTGTCAGCTTCAAATTAGGAATAGAAGAACCTCACTTTGCCAAGGCTTCAGGTGATGAATCTGGTTTGGGTCCCCTGGGTCTACCAGGCCACTTTTAGCTTCCTTCACTTCCCAGAGGAAACCTTTGTACCTTCCCTCTCCACCACAGACTGCTTTTAGATCCAGAAAGCAGGGGGTCGGTAATGTCAGCTGCTGCCCAAATTTTAGAATGACTTTACTGTGTATCTGCGTTTCTCCTTTTGTTCACTCATGCTGTATGATGCTGATAGATTTCTGGTTCCTCAACTTGCCCTAAGATGTTAACCAAAGTATTCTATTAATTGTAGCACTTCTATTGACAGAAGAATAGTAAAATTGTTTTAAAAAGAAGATATGGGGCCAGAAGTTGATTTTTTTTTCCCAAAGAGGATGTTGATTTCTTGCTGTTGTCTCTGTAAAGTATAATTTCATTTTTAATATATGCTCAGAAATCTTTGTAACAGCTTTCATAATGACAAATATAATTTATACGTATTGTGGAGCTTTTGGAAAACAAAACATACTTGTATGCACATACAAACACGCACATGCAGTGAGAACTACTTATGATTCCACAGTCCAGATATGTACAGTGTATTTTGTTTTTTCATGTTTTATACACACTCGTATTAACAGTTACATTTATAAAAGAAAAAAACCAAACTCAGTCTGATTTGGCAGGTGACACTGTGAGCGCTGGTGACGCACTGTGTGAAATCGAGACCGACAAAGCTGTGGTTACCTTAGATGCAAGTGACGACGGCATCTTGGCCAAAATAGTGGTAAGTTTTCATTCTGACAATCTTCAACAGGATGGAGACTTCTTAATCATGAAGTTTCTAGAGGTAGAGTTACTTTCTATTTATTTTTAATTCACGAGTTTAAAGTGTTACTGTGAAGGTCCAGTAATAGCCTATTTTTCTGAATTTTGTATACAAGGTATTTTAGTTTTAAAACAACTTCAGAGCACATGAGAAAAGTAAGTAAAAACATCACTGTTGAGGGGTGTAAGGCATAAGTAGCGACGGAGCCAGCCAGCAGGCTGTTTCTTCACTTACAGTGCAGTTGCCAGAGAGTGGAAGAGCAGCTCAGACCGGATGGTGCCACACTGTGGCCCATTCCATGTAGCTAAATATGCTACTTACTAGCTAGCTATGGACACAGTGCCAAAGCCTTGGTCCCTTTTTCTTCATAAAGAAGTGGAGATGGTTATAATATGTCACAGGGTAGTGAGTGGGGAAGGTTAATTGAGAGACTATGTAATATTCATCCCAAAGCCTATTACCCACCAAGTGTTCAATAAGTGTTAGAACTGTTTATTCATTTCTCAGTGACAGAAATCCCCGTGTCTGTCCAGACATTTGTCTAATCATTCATGTTGGCTGGTGGCTGGATTGTAAGCCTCCCTTTGTACCTATGCAGTTTGCTTTGTATAGGTAAGCTGTATACCTGTTTGTAGTTGTTAGTATGGTTTTAATTCTGAGCCACCAGCTTCCCTCTACATTGACTGGATGCAGCTTCCTATGCCTGTTCCAAGTCCTAGCCCAGGCCCAGAGAGTGTGTGGGAGAGCTTCCGACTACCCTGCGCTGGCAGGACCTGCCTGTCCCAGCCCAGGCGCAGCGTGGGTAAGACCCTCTTCCACCCCCTTGGGGGCCCCCCCAACACTCTGCAGCACACCCCCACCCCGCCCACTTAGTGAGAATTTCTGCCATGTTCTGTGGACCCCCAGATCCAGTCCTAGCCCAGGCCAGGTGAGTGTGTGGGAAAACTTCCGACTACTCTGTGCCAGCAGGACCTGCAGATCTCAGCCCCCAGGCACAGCGTGGGTGAGACCCTGTTCCACCCCCTTGGGACTCCCCCACCACTCCGCAGCACCACCCCCCCGCCCACCCAGTGAGAATTTCTGCTGCGTTCTAGGGACTCCCAGATCCAGTCCTAGCCCAGGCCTGGTGAGTGTGTGGGAGAGCTGCCTTTACCCCCTACTCCATCTTGTCCCCTCCAGACTCAGCTCAGGCTTGGCATAGAGGTCTGAGGTGAAACCCTGCAACTGCAATCCCTGCAGAGAGAGTAGGGACAGAACCACCCAGCTAGTCCAGAAGCAGAACATCTTGCCAGAGGGGCACAACAGGTTCACCCCCAAGGGCAGCAGCAGGAAGGAGCTGAGCACAGCAGCTAGACCCAAGCCAGGCACAGCTGGATAAATCCAAACTTCAAAGATCTGCACCTGAACTTCAGTAGGTGCTAAGGTTATAACTGTACCAAAGCTTTACAACAAAGTTCAGAAGACAGTGATACACAAAATGCCACCGAGAAGAAACAAAATGCAATCTCAGATCCCAAGCCCACCCATAACAAGTGCAGAGGACACTGTGCCTGTTCCAGCCAGAGGCCACACTTTGGGTTGTTATGCTTTGTTAGACGCAGATCTTCTAACAGTTTTTAATGTGTTTCTTAATCCTCTTGTACGTTTACCCCCCCCCCCCCCCCCCCCCCCCCCCCCCCCCCCCAAAAAAAAAAAAAAAAAAAAATGATAAACTGCAAGCCTTTATACTGGGGAATTGAGCCAGGGCCCTGTGCGCCCCCGTGTGGCTATGTACCTAGCCCTTTTTATTACTTCAGAGGTCTCACTAAGTTGCTCATGCTAGGCTTGATCTTGGGATCCTCCTGCCTCACCTTCCAGAACAGCTATAAATACAGGCTTGCAGCACTAGGCCCTGCCTTTTGTGCATTTTTTGAAGTCACTAGTATTTTTCAAACTACTTATGTTTTATTATTGACACTTTAGAATGTCAAAAGCTTTTAATAGCTATTTGTGATACTAACATCTGGGTTAAAACACATTGCTGAAAAGACTTAACTTTCTTGGAGGAAGTATGAATTGAAAGTTAAAATTATCCTGTCTTTATAGCTACATGAATATAAATATTCATACCGTTTAACTAATTTATATATTTTGAAAAAGGAAGATAGTGCTTGAATTACCATATGTTATAAACCCAGTTACGTTTTATTGGTGTGCTTTGGGCAGGCTGTGTTCTTGGCCCTAGTTCCAGATTGTTTGACTGTGGAAATCTTCCAAAATTGATAGAATTTTCCACTTAGCTACTTAGTAATGCATTTCAAATTGCTAACCATGTCAGTAGGTCAGTAATGCATATTCATCTGGACCCCAGTGCTATGCAAAAGGCTGAGTAGTTGTCATTAATCACCACCTCTCGACATATTTATTTCCTGACCAAAGAAAGATCCTGTGACATATATACATATTGTGGCTCTTTCATTACTTTGCATGCTTTTTGGGTAATGCAATTGGGAATATATTCATGTCACAGTGTGTGCAGTTTTACAGGGAAAAGAATGGACAAAAAAAGTGGTATTACTAGTGGGTTTTTTGATCTGGTTGATTTTTTTGTCTTTTACCTCTCTTCCCCACCAGCCCACCACCACTAGCAAGTTTTACACCTTCCTTTTTCATTGTGGTAGAATTCTCAGACTGTAGCATAAAGTAAAGTGATTTTATAGGATTACATATAAGAGATGTCTGCTGTCAGAACCAAAGAGTTAGATAACTAAGCTTATTTTAAAAAGGAATGGTCCAAAATAAAGCACAGTGGTTAAGCCTAGGGAGTCAGTGTGTTTTGCACTAGTCCACCAGACTCCATTAAGAAGTAACATCCTAGCTCATCATTTGCTTTTCTAAATTAAAATAGTAAAGAAAAAGAAAACTTTGGAATTTGTAATTGCTTAGCCTGTTGTGATATCATGCACAAGCACATGGAAGTCCAGATGCTGTTTGTAGCGCACGTGATGAGGGCGTGTGCCTCCTTAAGGCCAGCTTGCTAGCAGGCAGTATAAAGTACTGCTGCTCCAGGTGTGAGCAGACCCAGTTATCTCCTTCCGCAATTCCTCAGGATAAGGCAGGCGCCCAAGTTGTGTGAGATTGACACAGTTGCCCTGTGTAAAGTATTTCCCATCCTCTTTCAGTACTTATGTTGTGAGGTCAGCACTCAGTTGGAGAAATCCCCACATGGAATCATCTTCTGGAGACAGAAAGAGTAGGACAGCTGTCAGCACATTGATCACAACGAAACTCTCCTTTCTTTATGTGCCTCTTCAGCACTGGGTTGCAGTCTTCTACTAGAATATGACAGTGGTCTACCTCAGATGTCACCACATGGTTTTTGCATGTGGTTCTTAAACCCGTCAAACACTGTGTGGTCAGTCTCTACCATAGTGACCATCTTTGGCTTTACTTTGCTGTTTCACATAATGTGCCTCCATCTCCGCCTCCCAGAATCAGCTCATCTTTTCTAGTGTCATCTTCTTTGCCACGTTAGCCTGGTATAGGCCAAATCGTGTTGCCAAATTAATATCCTCACTGAGGATGAGGATATTTCCAAACTTCTTGCAGGGTAGAATTGTAATGTTCTGATAAGGCGGGCCTTCATCATACACCACTTCATCAGTGTCATACTTGTTACCAGTGGTCCAATGGCTGTTGATGGTGCCGCAAACTATGGGGGACAAAGGCTTCACCAGCTCCAGATTGCTCTGGCTCAGTTCTTTCATTCATTCTTCTACCTTGTTCGAAAGACCGTCAGTTTCTTCTTTGCTCTGTGTCTGTATCAGTGTCTTAACTTGAAAGGTCCTGCAACACCAGTCCATGTGGGTAAATTCTCAAACTGGCAAAGCTGCTGTTTCGTTTGTTTAGGTTGCTGAGTAGCCACAGTCCTGCCAGGCATGCAGCAAGCCCGTCATGCTTTGATCTGGAAAAGAGCCCAGCAGTCTTATAGAATGCTTTCCCCTGTGGCACCTAGCTTGAAATCTGGCATGCCTCACCACATAGCTGCCATAATGAGGCTGGTTCAGCTGGGAGCGCACAACGCTGGGAGGCTTGCAGTAGAGGTGGGTAGAGTCAAGGGGAGTCACTCCAGGAAGCCCATGGGAGGCCCCATTAACGTGAAGACATGGGTACTGTGTTCTTAGCCATGAGCTACTAGTACCCTAACTGTTCCTGCCATGTTAGGTCTTCTTAGGTTGAAACAGTCTAATTTTCCCAGTGCTTGGATTACAGGCAAGTGCCAGTATTTTATTGGCTGGTAATATATTCACTGATAACTTTTATTATATTAGTAGACCATTGTTTGAAGTAGTTTTGAGAAGTAGTATTAATCATTCTTTTTACATGACACTGGGAATTTAATTCAGGGTGACCTTATTCAGCTAAGCCTCCAGCTCCTTTTTTAGTTTTTTATATTGAGACCAAATCTCATTGTATTTGAGTTTCCTGCTTCATGATGAAACTTTTTATAATTAGAAAAATGTGAATACCTAAAATTGCATTTTATTTGATATTTGTTGATAGGGAATATATGGAATCACTTCTGCAACTTCTAGTAAGTGAAACAAAAGCTGAAGTGTCAGTTTCAGATTAAGTATTGTTGGACACACATCTATATAGACATGTACTGATATTTTTAAAATAAACTTTTCTCCTTTTTTGAAAGAATATTTTAAATTTGAATCGTGTTCTTATAGTAGGATATTGGATTGTATGCTTTAATTTTTAAAGTAATTATCAAATAGAATTTATATTTCATGCTTTTGCTGTCAGTTTTTTTTTTTTTTTTTTTTTTTTTTAGAGAAATAGGCTTTTACTTTGATTTGGAGTTAGCATTTCAGAAGCAAGTAAACACTTAGAAAAAAATCTGAGTCCAATGATCTTTCAAAAAATTTACTTAGAGCTAAATGTACTAAAAAAATTACTTAGAGATTTTGATTCTTCCTCCCCTACTTTCCCTCTCTTTTAAAAAGCTTTGTTTCTATTTTATCCTTTTTCGAAAATCTTTTTTTCTTCATTGTTGGTGGGAGTGTAGACTGGTGCAACCACTGAAGTCAGTGTGGGGCTTCCTCACCAAAGTAGGATTAGAGGTCCTATTTGACCTATCCCTTTCTGGACGTCCTTTGGAATGAATTAACAACATTCCACAGCAGTATATGGGCACCCATATTTATAAAAACGTAGTTTCTAACAACTAAATCTTGGAAACAACCTAAACATCCACCAACTGAGGATGGATAAAAAAGGTTTTCTTTTTAATACATGATGGAGCACTATTCAACCAAAACAGGATACAACTTGAGACCGTACTCTTAAGTGAAACAAATCAAACACACATTTAAACATTATGTTGTCTTCCTGGTGTGAGAAACTGAAAGAATAAGACCAAAGTGTATGATAGATATCTGAAATAGGAAGAAATTATTTAAAAGGAAAGAGGAAATGTATAGGGTAGGGAGGTGAAACAAAAAGGTAAGTTTTTTAATATGATAATCTTATCTTGTTGACATAGTAAAGACAATGTACCAGCCCACAGAAGTGAATCTTTTTAGTATACAAAAACCAAGCAACTACATTTTTCTTGGAGTGTTTTAGTGTTTTTCTATAGCTTGTAACACTTTCTTTGTCCTTATTTACTTTTGTACACCCATTTTTGTGCTATTTTTCATGAAAGCATTGTTCATATTTTTCATTAGTAATTAGTAAATTTATAAAGCTTCTTAACTTACAAAATTTATGCCTGATTATTTTAAGGGTAGCATACATATAAATAAGCAAGATTAGTGTTACTGCAAAGTGTCAAACCCATCATGGGAGTAATGCTCCCCTTTGTGATTACTGTTAATGTTGCCTTACAAATTATCATTCCGTTTTCTTATTAAATACATTTGTAATGAACTTTGTTTAAAATAATTGAAAAGGAATAATAGAATGCTTTGAAGGAATGATATTTTCTTTCTTCAGTGACCCTGTAACATATTGCTAGCTAATGGTATTCTAGGGATTGGTCATTAGTAAATCAAAATTAGCTTGTTTTTTATAAATTAATTCTGTTTAAATGCTTAAAATATATTAATTTTTAAAAGAGAGTACAAATTAGAATTAAAAATTACAGAATTCTGAGACAGAATTTCACTTAACAAAAGTAATATGAATTTCTTAGGTTTTTTTTTTTTTTTTTTTTTTTTTGTGGAAGTGTTCTGTAACATTTCTGTCCAAACAGCACACACTGAATGGAATTTTCCTAGGGAAGGGTCTACAGCGTGTTCAGGGTCTCACTACTAGATTGGACTTAGAGTGATCTGTCTGTTTACAGCCTCCCAAGAGCTGGGATTACAGGCATGTGCCACCATACCCAGTCTCAATTGCTATCTCAGCGCACCCAAGGGGCAGGGCCGGCATGGCATAGTATTTGTTGTAATACATAGATAGTTTTGTCTTCCAATCAGTTAATATTCCAACCATATTACTAGATATATGGATGTAAAATTAGAAGAAGACAGGAAAAAGAAAGAAATGCATAAGAAATTAAGAAGAGAAAAAGCACAAACAATTGAAAAAAGGAGATAAAACAAATCAAAGCATTAACTGCTTCTATCCCTAGACCAGCAGAAATGCCCAGTACAGTTGTCCAAAACATCCTGCTTACATACATAGATAAATCTCTTTCCCCCACTCCCTCTCCTGTCTTCCTTCTCAACTTAGTAACTCTTCCTTTTTGAATAAGTTCATTCCCTTTTCCCAGCATGTATTATACCCTTCAAATTACATTTTTCTCTCAGGTTCTCGCACTTAAGGAAACTATACGATGTTTGTACATGTGGGTCTGATTTCACTTAAGAGTGTTTTCTAGTTGCATTCATTTACCAACAAAAGACTCAAATTTATTGTGTTTTGTAGCTGAATAATACTCCATCCTATAAAAATACCACATATTCTTTATCCATTCTTTAGTTGATGGGCATCTGGGTTGTTTGCAGGATTTAGCTATGACAAATTGTGCTGCTATAAACATGGGTACACATACATTGCTTTGCTATGAGGCTTTCAGATCTTTTGGAAAAATACCCAGGAGGGGAATAGCTGGCTTGAATGGGATCTCCAATCCTAGCTTTTTAAGAAATCTCCATACTGATTTCCATCGTGGTTGTACCAGTCTGTGCTCCTACCAACAGTGAAACAGGGTTCCTTTTTCTCCACAGCCTCTCCAGCATTTGTTATTGACTGACTTCTTGATGTGAGCCATTCTTTCTGGGGTGAGATGGAGTCTTAGTGTTGTTTAATTTGCATTTCTCAAATGACCAATGATGTTGAACATTTTTTTGTATGTTTACTTGCCATCTGTATTTTTTTCTCTGAGAAATGTATATTTGTATCAGATGCCCATTTTTGGATTGGGTCTTTGAATTTGAGGGGCCCGATTTTTTTTAAAAAATTCTTTATATGTTCTAGATAGAAGGCTTTTGTTGAAGGGACAGTTGGCTATAATTTTTTCCCAGTTTGTGAGTTTTCTTTTTATTCTGTTGGAGATTTGCTTTGAAGTGCAGAAACTTTTCAAAAAGATGAGATCCCAGTTGTTGATTCTTTGAAACATTTCCTGTGCAGTTTTTTCATATGAACTCTCTGCCTACCCGTGTCTTTAAGATTTTTACCTACATTTTCCTCCAGAAGATTTAATGTTTCCATTTTAATATTTAAGTTTTTTATGAATAACCACTACAAAGACAATATGCAATATATTAATTATTGAAACTGTCTCGAAACTGTCTCATTGCTATTTGTTTCTCAATAAAATGAATTTTTAAAAAAGTCTAAAAAAATTTTAAGTTTTTGATCTATTTGGACTGTCGCTTTGTGCATGGTGATAGGCAAGGATCTAGTTTTAGCTTTTAACATGTGGAAAGCCAGTTTTTCCAGCACCATTTATTAAAGAGGCTATCTTTCTTCCAATGAACATGTTTGGCCCCTTTATCAGAGATAAGGTGGCTAAGTGTGTTTGCAGTTGTGTCTGCGTCTTCCAATCTGTTCCATTGATCCTCAGGTCTGTCTATGCCAATACTACCATACTGATTTATCTTATTTTTAAAAAACAATTTTGATCTCCCTTAGGTTGTTAGTTGGCAGATATTGTCTGAAAATTGGTTAGCTGGGACACGACTATGTTTCTAATATAATTATAAAAGCTCCATGAGATTTATTTCTCGGATTTTACAAGTAGATATGTGGAGAAAAAAATAATAGAGAAGCAAACTATATTTAACACAACCAGGATAGTTAACCAGTTCTATCTATACAGTGGAATAACACACACACACACACACACACACACACACACACACACACGCAGCCCTGCACAGAGACTAGGTTTACTGAAAAGATTTTGCTTTAAATTAATTTTACAAGGCAGGGCTAATTTGGAGGAGTTAATCTCTTACGAGTGCTTGCACTTCTAAAGCCATTGTATAGATACTGTATGGGAAAGACAAATAATTGAGGTGCACAACCACAGTTTCCTGTTTTGGATTTGTTTAATTGACATGGCAACACTAGCTCTTGTATATTTGAAGACTGTCAGAGGAGCACTTCTATATTTTTCCTTTCGGGAGGTAGGATGAGTATTTTGGAGAGAAGTGATAAAAAAGGAATGTGGGGAAGGTAGGGAAGGAAGGCGGCAGGGTGAAGGTGGAGGCAGGCAGTTCAGTTGAAAGCCCTTAAAGCTCACATGTAAGAGATTTTTCTAGCCAGTATAGATGTGTCCAACTAGGAAATGAGCTGCTTCATTCACTCATAAGGCTTTCTACCTCTGCCATTATTTTCTTTTTAAAATATAGCTTGAAGAAGGAACTAAAAATATTCGGCTGGGTTCACTAATTGGTTTGATGGTTGAAGAAGGAAAAGACTGGAAAAATGTTGAAATTCCCAAAGACGTAGGTCCTCCACCACCAGTTCCAAAACCATCAGTGCCTGGCCCCTCACCAGAACCACAGATGGCTCTACCTGTTAAGAAGGGTCCACCTGATACAGTACAGTGAGTATGTTTACTTTAATAATGAGAAAAAGGTGTTATGGTCATTATTGAGATTTTTAATCATCAGTATATTCAAAGCATCTTTGAACATTAAGTAGAAAGTTGCTCATCTTGCCTTTTTTTCTCTTAGGACCCTGAGATCTAGGAGTGATTAGTTTGCTATCATTGTTCATTCAGTAAACGGTTATTGAATACCTGCTGTGTTCCAGGTACTCTGAAAGCCTTGCTGGCTTAGAGGAGAACAAAACAGTGTGTGTCCACTTGAGCTTGAATTAGCTTTTATGATTCCAGAATGGCATTCAGTGTACCAGACTTCCTTTCTGTGTTCCCATTCATGGAATTCTTACTACTCTAATATGAATTCTGTTTTCGGATGCAAAACTGACAAGATGAAATTACCAGTTTAACATGTTTTCCTTTTTAAACTGTGAATGCATTTGAGCTGACAGATAAGAGCTCAGCTACTCTGTAACAAAACTGTTATTTAGGGAACAGGAGTCATGTGTAACATTGTATAACTTTACATAGCTTTAATTGGTATCCTTTCCAAATTGTAGCAAAATTTACTTATTTTAATATTCTCAGTAGTATATAGAATTACCTTATGTTAAAAAAATAGGACTTAAAAATGTAGAGCCTTTCATTTATTACTTTTTTTTTTTTCTTTAATTATATCATCAGTTCTGGGCAGAAAAGAATTCAGTGTTTTCCAAGTATCAGTTTGAGGGATTTTTTACTTTGTTATTTTCAGTCAACTCATAGTATTTGTAAGTATTGTAAGGCATGGCACAATAACTGATAGACAAAAAGTAAGATTGCCATGCTTTGACTCTTTTTATTTTCCATTCATTTACTATGAAAATCAGCTAGTCTCATCAGTGTGTTTTATTTAATGGTACTGGAATATCGTTTTGCACCGGTAAGCGTACACTGTACAGTCAATCTGAGGGCTGATGTGGGTTCAAAACTGACTGATGTGTGGATATGCACAAGGTTGACCTACACAGTGATTTTTTTTAAAAAATAAAGAGTTTTGAATTGTGTTTTTACTGATCTTATATAAAAATATCAAACTGAGTTTCTCTTTAAAGATTTGGAGATTTCATAATGCTAGACACTTGTAAAGTAGAGCTACTTTCCTGAAACATAGCAAATTGTTCTCCATTTGCTATTTTTAAACTTTCAGACCCAGCCTGTTTCACTTTTGAGTGTGTAGTCATTTATGTTTGTTACATTGCTTGAAGGTCTTAAGAGAAGATAGACCCTTAGCCGTATAAACTTGGTGCACCTGCTTCTTTGTCCATACATTCAGTGTAATTGTTTTTCTGCTCTGTTAGTCTTCTGAAGTATATGTAAAATAAAAGTACTTTTATATAAAACAAGGATTTTAGGGGCTAAGGAGATGGCTCAGTGGAATAAGCACTTCCCTAGCAAGTGCAAGGACCTGAGTTCAATCCCCAGTTCCAAAAAAAAACAAAAAAAAAACCCTCAAAAAACAAGGATTTTAAAAATATACAGAAACAACTCAGTAACACTGAAACAAACCCATTAAAACCGGACAGTGGCCTCAGACAATTCTCCCAAGAAGGTAAAGAAATGACTAGTGTATACATGAGAAACATAGCAACATTAATCATTGGGGACATACAAATCAGAACCCTAGTGAGACACCACTCCAAACCTATTAGGATGGCAGTTACTAAAAAACAGCAACAGAAACAAAAGCTGGGAATATAACAAGTGGCGGTGGGGATGTGGGGAAGCTGGCGCTGCGTCGCTGGCGAGGATGGAAAACGTTACAGCTGCAGTGAAAGCAGTAGGACTTCTGGTCAGAAGAGAGAATTACCGCAGCATCCAGCAAGTGTACTTCTAAATAGGTCCAAAGGCATCAGAAGAAGGCATCCGTGTTTATGCATACGTGTTCACCATTCATAGCACTGTACGTAATAGCAAAACGGTGGAAACAACACCTGGGTCCAAAATGCTGTGTATGTCCCTTGAAATGTATTTCAGCCATAACAGAGAGGGCATTCTGTTACATGCTACCAATTGGATAAACCTTGAAGACATGCTGAGGAAAATTAAGATAGTCACAGAAGCACATACACCGAGTAGTTCCGGTGACACAAAATATGAAATGCGTAGTCAGATTAGTGGAGACAGAGTGGAATAATAAGGGACTGGGAGGAAGGAGGAATGGAAAGTTGTTTAATGAACGTAAGTTTCAGTGGAAAGATGAAGTTTTGGAGATGGATGGTGGTGATTGTTACACAAAAGTGTGATTGTCCTAATGCCAATGAACTATATAGCTTAAAGTGCTTAAGATTTAAAATATTCTGCATAGTTTATCATAATAAAAATGTATGAACAGTATAGTTTTTACTGATGTATTATGAAGAGCCATTGAAATTTAATTACTTACTATATGACTGCTTATTGCTAATGAATAGGTACTCTTACTAAAAGAATATTTTGACGTGGTGGCTAGTTAATTTTTTTATGAAAAATAAAAAGTAAGAAAAGTAAAATAAAATAGAGCAGTACAGATGAATTTATTTGACTGTGACCATCCATGGGAGTCCGTTTAGTTTTAGTATTTTAAATTTCTAATTATCCCTCAAGCTCTTGACATTTCGATCTATTTGAATCAATGGGAATGTTAATTAGTTGCATGTTTTCTTCTTAGGTTCCGAGTAAGCCCAGCTGCGCGCAACATTCTGGAGAAGCATGCGCTGGACGCCAGCCAGGGCACAGCCACCGGCCCTCGGGGGGTCTTCACTAAGGAGTATGTGTGCTTTTTGTAATGAGCAACTTGCTTATTTATCCTTTTTCTGAAAGTTTTAAAAGAACTTATTCAGTGTTTAGATTTAAAAGGAGATAATACTGTTCTTCTGTGCTTTTAATTGCTTTTGTCCCTGTAAGTTGTATTCTATGCAAGGGCTGTTTTCTGAATAATTGCAGCCGTATTTCTAATTTAGTGTGTGACTAAGCCAGATCTTTAGGAACGGAGATTAATGCAGAAACCTAGAGTGCAAAACAGTGAGGCAGCTTTGTATTGTTTCAAGTCTGTATTAAGTCATTGCTCAAATGCATTTAAATGTCTAACACATGGAAATATACTTCTACAAATATTGTAATTCTTATCTATTTGGCTTTTATTCATTTGTTTCAAAGTAACAGAACAGTTAGTTGTTTGTGGATTTTCTTTTCTAGTCCATTGATCTGTTTCTCCATGATTTCATCCCACTTGTTTTAGTACCATACTTTTAATTGTAAATGTTTAATTATATGCTTTAAAATCTGATAGAGGTGTCAGGTTTCTTTCCATTACTCTTTGTTGTTAATAAACGAGTTTTACTGATATGTTCTTATTTTATCCCTCCAAATGAATTTTAAACAAATCTTTAAGCTCCACTGATAGGAGTAAGGAGAACTTTTAATTAACTTTGTAAAAGAAGAACTAACATCTTTATGATAAGGAGTCTCCCCATTTCAGGAAGTGGGTACATCTCTCCAGTTGGCTAAATATTTTGGGTCTTTTAAGAGTATATAAAAACACATGACCCCTTCCCCATTGAGACAGTCTAAGGAACAAGACAGAGAATGAACAAATGGACTTGTAAACACTATAGTGATATATTGCACGTTTCTTTTGACAGTCATTAAATATTTCAAACTGAACTAATGTCTCGAAGCAGTATACTCATTCGATGTTAGACTAATACTGGTAAGAAATAAATGGCCAGAGTTCTTACAAATTTAAAGCAAAAGGTGTGAAATTATTAAGTGACAGTGCTTGACTAGGCAGCTTGGCTTTTTTCACTAATTTTCTGTTCATTAGAGCAACAATTGACTCTTGGGTATTTCTTTTTTGAAAGCACTTAGCTTTCTTTCTTAGTGGTCCTCATTTCTCAATACCAGTGATGGTGAACTTTTTAGAGACAAATGCCCAGACTGCAGCCCAAAACCCACTTAGTTATTGCGAAGTGCCAACACTGCAATTAAACCTGAATACTAAGGCTTTAGTTTAGAACAACAACAACTCATACATTAACATTTTCTGTGCCACAAACCCACTGCCATGACACTAAAGGGTGGCCTTACTATTTTGTAACCATATGTGTGTGTTTGTGTTATATACGCACTAGGTAGTTCATACCATAGTACACATGCTGGAAACCTGCTGTCCTGGGAGAACATCCAAAGCAATGCGATTTTTAGTTACAGGATTTAAAGGTTCATTTACCCATAAAACACTAAAACTTGAGAATCCTGACAGCCAGTCAAGGCTAGCTTCTTTCCCTTTGTCACTGTTTCTTTAGTACCTATAATCAGTGCCTTTATTTTGTTAATCATTTACCAGTATATGACATAGTAGCATTCTGCAGAAATAGAATAAAACCCTATTGCCATGAAAAGGTAGGTCTGCCTTGCCAGTGTTCCTGTGGGACAGGATGAAGTATCTACATTTAATTAATTGATCATTAAAAATTAGGTAAAGTATAAAATAATCACAACTGTGCTTAGAAGAATCTGTTTTTCAAATTTGTGTAGGAGAAACTGGAACAAAAAACTATTTATGGTAAGGAAGCAAATTCCTGCGCTCATAAAGCAGTCTAATGTGAGAGATCATAAATTTTTTACTGTGCTGTATGTAGAGGAAGCACAAGGAAGATTCTGAAACAGACCCACGAGGATGAAGTCCAGAAGCCTGCAGATGACTGAGTGTAGACTAGAGACAAGAGGTCAGCGGTCAAGGAATGACTGTAGTTCTGGTCTATGTGGTAAAATAGACCATGTTGGGTCTGCAAATGGAAATCTGTAGTTTTGGGCATGCATTTGTCTCAGCGGAGTGAGTTATGTTTAAGCTTACTGATAGCTTTTAGAGTCCCGCCAGGGATTAGGGTGATCAGTAAGGGGAAGTGTGTCACAGGAGGTGGTTTAATAGGTGGTATAGCAGCGTGATTGGCAGCATCCCTAGGCAGACGGCCTAGAGAGTTAAATTGGGAGATGGATGAGAAGTCAGAGAATGTGGAAACTGAGCAGAAGTCCTTGAACTGTGGGATTCGGTGACCTTTTAGAAGATGCTGCAGTAGTGTGCCAGTGGTTCACTGGAGAAGCAAAGGGCCGGCCAAGTAGTTCAGCAGATTAAAGCACCTGCAAGCAGGCGCAGGGGTCTAGAGTTCAATCCCTGGGCTGTGCTGAGACAGCGAATGAGAATGGACGTGGTGGTGTGCACCTGTAACCCCAGCTCTTGGGAGGCTGTAAACAGGCGAATCACTACGAGTCTGATCTAGTGAGACCCTTAACACCCTGTAGACTCTTTTTTACAAAAAAAAAAAAAAAAAAAAAAAAAAATAGAGAAATAAGACCTTTTCTCTTTCTTTTTCATATATGCTTAGTACATATGTTATAAAAAACGTGAGTTGTAATTCATTAATATAACATTTTGTAAGGAGAACAAAATTGTGCAATGTTACCTTCTAGTTACCCTAGAAGCAGTAGTAAAAGAGTTAAGCTTTTAATAGTTCTGCCATCTTCTATATTTTCCCCGTTCTCTTCCTTATCCTTATTCCTTAATTCCCCACCATAAGTAAATTAATACTTAGTCTGCAAAATATAAAATGTTACAAAAGATTTCATGAGGAAAAATAGAGACTTAAATCATACATTACTGAGGATTTTTACTTTCTGTGATCCTATACTGAAGATAAAGATGCCTGTGTTTTCAAGTTGAGTTGTAGAAAAAATTTTGGCCTGGTGTTATTTATAGAAATGTTACCCTCTGATATAGTTGAAAAATGGTAGGATTTGGCAATAAACTTTCCCCCGAATACCTTTGCACATGTTCTCAAAATGGTGAAGGCTATTTTCCTCTATGTTCGGTCAACAGCAAGTGCAAATAGCACAGGCGTCTCTTCTACCTGCTGAAAATGAACTTCTGACCCATTAAATCTGTGAAGAAAATCATAGGTGTCAGAGCTGCTATTGCAGTTTTGCATTTAAACGTATTCCTTAGAAAATGCGTGCTGTGCAGTGTCAGCACTGATTCGGTGCCTATCAGAATATGAAAGGACAGCAAATGCTAGGCTACAGTTAGAGGCAGAACACACGGGGAGGTTCTGTGCCTGCAGCTGCACTGTCTTTGGTATATCTGATTCTTAAATCATAGTTGAAGCTAATGTTTTTGTTAATCTCAAAAATCTGGTATGACAGGCACTTGTCCTCTTTTTGGTGATTTTTTTTTAAATTAATTCACCCGGGTGAATTGCTTTGTGGGAGATTGTGATGAGAAGGTGCTACTACAGGGAATTTTCAGAGTGTCCTGCATTTGTGCAGGATGTGCCTGGGTATTTGTTTTTCTCCTAGCTTTATAGTTCTTCATGCCTTCTTAATTTGTAAATTCCATATAATTAGTTACTTAACCCATGGAAATTACTAAAATCTATTCTGCACTATAGAAACTAAATTGTTGACTGTTAATCAATAGTTAACATTTATACTTCATGAAGTATATACTTAGAAAATCAGCAGTGAAAGTTTTCTGTGAACCAGTTACCACAAGTGCTTGCTATGTGCTTATTTACAGTGAAAGAATTCTGTTTACTTGTATTTGTTGCCAAGTAACATTTTGTGCACAAATCTTAATTTCCACATAAGCTAACTTTGTTTTAAATGTATTTAGTATATGGTCTACAGGGTTTCACTACACAGATTGGACTTGTACTGATCCTCCTGTTTTCAGCCTTCCAAGCCCTGGATTACAGGCACGCACCACCACACCCAGTCTCAATCACCATCTCAGGGTGCCCCAAGGGCGGGACTGGCATGGCATGTGGTGCCAGGGATCAAACCCCGGTCCCTGTGCCTGTCTAAACAGGTGCTTTAATCCGCTGAGCTATCAGGCCTGCCCTTAGAAGATTATTTATTTATTTATTTATTTATTTATTTATTTATTTGGGGGGGCAGCTCAGCCCACCAGGGGGCAGGGATGGCTGGCATGTGGTGCTGGGGGATTGAACCGCGGTCCCTGTGCTTTGCTAAGCTTGTTCTAAGTGGGTGCTTTAGACCACTGAGCCATCTCACCAGCCCAAGAAGATCATTTTTTATAGATAATTTAAAACTGTAGAATTTTTTAAAAGATTTTTTTGGTGACCGGCTCAGCCCACCATGGTGACGGGGCTGGCGCAGCATGTAGTGCCAGGGATTGAACCAGTGTCTCTGAGCTTTGCTTGTGCTTTCCTAAGCAGGTGCTTTAGACTGCTGATCTATCTTGCCTACCCTAAATTTTATTTTAAATCCAGATCAGTATTACAGTTTGGCAGACAGAGCTTAAATTATGGAAGAGACTTATAGTTAGGCTGTGACTTATAAGGGCTTCCTAAATTTCTTCCGTTGGAAGCATTTTTCTGAATCAGCAGCCCTGTTTTTTAATCAGTACAAGCATTTTTTCAGTCTGGCTGAAATTTTGGCTCATAATGTAGGTCTCTAGGGATTCTGTTGGCAGATATGTATGTATAATCACAGTTACCTGGAAAACAGTACTTTTGGGTATAAATGTCATATGCAGAGTTAAAATTATTTCTGCACAGAAGTAAGCTTTTCAAAAGCCACAAAGATCCATAAAATACTTCCTTGAGACATACACCTGTCGCACTCCCTCAGTCTTCCTGTCACCATGACCAGGTTGTAGCTTCCTTTTGAGAACTAGCACTGCCACCAGGTCTCTGTTACTCTTTCTATGATGGGTAAAAATGCCTTTGTCTGGGTGCCCATGTATAGCTTTCAGTTAGGTAGGTCCTATGTCTTTATTCATTCTAGTGTTGCTGTTAATCTCAGATAGGCTTATTTAATTCCCTGAGAGTCTATTCTTAGGAGGAAACTCACCCTTAGTTTGTATTTAACTTGCATATCATGTGCATAGGTATTGGAAAAGGTACAGAAAGTGTGCAGGCTTTGGGTTGGCTGGAGCTTGAAGCCAGCTCTGGCAGTTGCTAGCTACCTGCCTGTCCAGCTTTCTCTTGTAACTCTGCTTTATTCACATACTCCTCCCGTTCTGTCCTTCCCTCTGCTCTCTCTTGCCTTCACACCTGTTCTTCCCTCTGCCTGGGAAGATACTTTTTCTAGCTCTTGACCTTGTTACATAATTCTTCACTGACATCTTAATCCTTTTCTAACCATCTGATTTCAAAGTTTCTGTTTCTGATCCATTACTGATCTCATTTTTCTGTTTATTCCAGCTACATCACAATCATGTTGATTTGTTTATGTAATGATATATAACATGTAACAATGTGTAATATGTAATAGTACAATCAGATGTGTCCTTTTTAACCTGGAATCACCTGACATCTAGGGATAGATGCCTTAAAAATACTATGCTTTAGGACTGGGGTGATAGCTCAGTGGAATAAGTGTTTGCCTGACAAGCACACAGTCCTGAGTTTGATCCCTAGTACCACCAAAAACCCCCCAAAAAAACAAAAAAAAACCTGAAAAAGAGAAAGAGAGAGATATTGTGCTTTAAATGTAGAATTTATCCCCTGGGAGTGTACTCATCTGTAAAATTAAGATTGCTCACATAAGTACTTTCTTGACATAATAGGGTCATTTTTCCCCTTTTACCCTCTTCCAGTACTTAGAGGTACACTATGATGCAGCATTTTAGATTTCCTTGCCCATATGACCTCTCATCTACATAGAGTTCATTCGTTTTGAAATAAGTTACTTGCACTTAACAGGAAGTTCATGCGTCCCTCTCTGGAGCTGATGTAATGCATAGATCCCTTTTCCTGGCAGACTTGCAGTGCACATTACGGTGTCTCTTTAATGGTATATCCCAGGTTGGAACATTCTTGCCTGTGTTACTTTTTTATTGTGGATGGCAAGTTTCAGCAAACGTAGCATCTTGAGCACCTGACGGTTCTGTAGGCCACAGGTTTGCGCACAGTGAGCCTCAGCCTCACAGGGCAAGAATCTAGGCATCGCCCAGAGAGAACTCTCACGTGAAGCTTGGGTCTTCCAGTTTGGGGCTATCGGATTCCAGCCTGTTTCCTGGCCAGCTGTCAGTCAGGCACTGCTCTTACCTCCTAAAGGTCTGCTTTCTTCGGATCCTGCCTTCCTGGTTGTCTGTAGGTAGATCTCAGGGTAACCATTTGCTTTAAGGGCCGCAGTTCAATTCCTTTTAACCGGTAGTTCTTCTTTCAGTAGACTCAGTTTCTTCTTCCCTGTTATGTCCAGCTCCACTAAGATAATTTGCCTTTTGATTAACTTGAAGTCAACTGATTTGGAATCATAGTCACGTATTCTGAAACGCATCAGCTCTGTTACATAATGTAACCTAATCATGGTGCTGATACCTGTCCCATTCACAGGCCTTCTTACAGGCCACAGGGATCATGTAGGCCTATGGCAGCAGTGGGCTGCTTGCATCTTTAAAAGCTCTAAAAAGGTTTGCCATCACTGATACAGCACAGCAGTACTGGGACCACTGTAGAGGTATGCCTGTATGTTGCAGTGAGCTATTGAATAGATGACAGTGTATGGCTGGAGCATAAATGTCAAGGCAGATATGCTCAGTAGGTGCTAAGTGTCTCCCTTTATGGTTTTGATTTGGCGATGCCAAGATCAGAACAATACTAAAATATGAACTGTGTGTTTTAAACTATAAGTTGTCTTTAGATTTGTGTTGTCCTGAATCTTTTTCTATATTATATGAAACCTCCCTTAAGAAATGTTGAGGGCTGGCCAAATAGCTCAGCGGATTAAAGCACTTGCTTAGGCAGACGCAGGAGCCAAGGGTTCAATACCTGCACCTGCTGTGCCCATCCTGCCCCTAGGGCACACTGAGATGGCAGTTGAGACTGGGCATAGTGGCGTGTGCCTGTAATCTTAATGCTTGGAAGGCTGAAAACAGGAGGATCACTACAACTCGTATCTACATAGTGAGACCTTCTAGACCCTGTATTAAAATACAAAAAAAAAAAAAACACACACACACATTTCTAACTGGAGCATGGTGGTGTACACCTATAATCCTAGCACTCAGGAGGCTGGGGCAGGAGGATTGCTGTGAGTTTGAGGCCGTGGCTGAGCTCACAGTGAGTTCAGGGCAGCCTGAACTGCATAGTGAGACCCTCTCTCAAAAGACAGGCAAGCTTTTCTGAAAAAGAAAAAAAGATAGGCTTTCTGAAAGGCTGTTTAGGAAAATACATTACTTTTCCCCATTGTAGCTTAGTACAGTGAATTAAGGATTTAGCATATGTTGTAGTTTATTCTTTATGAAATGAAAGTTTTTTTTTTTGAGTAATACAAAGGTAAATCTATAGTTATTCTTCATTTTAATAGATGCAGTGAGCTTGGTTTTTTATTAGGTTTTGCTGGTTGCATATTGAACAAATTAAAACTGACGTAATTTTCTGGCCATAAAAAAGCTTATTTGTTTGCACTAGAATAAATAATACTTTAGCAAATAGCTTGATGAAAACCTTCAATACAGTAAATTTTGTACTTTCTGAATGCTACATGAAAATTATTTCATAAGCATAAAGAATGAAGGCATGCTTTAATTAATGAATTGTTCTTATCAAATGACACTCGATGCCCAACAAAAAGACTTAATTTTCTTTTTAAAAATTATCTGTACTCAATACTTTGATAAAATTATTAGCTATTAAAAATGTACACACAGCTATTTGATAAATGAGAATCAGCAGACCATGTAGGAAAAAGATTTCCTTTTCTAGCTCAGATAATTGATTTGCATCGTATGCTTTGCAGTTGTGTTTCTGTGTGTGTCTTCCCCTCCCATCACGCCTCCATTTCCTAAGGCTGTCTTACATTCCTTATTGCTAACTGCAGTTATCTAATGTGTTCTTACCTCCAGAGATGCTCTCAACTTGGTCAGATTGAAACAGACAGGCAAGATTACAGACGCCAGGCCAGCCCCAGCTCCTCCCTCCACTCCCACAGTGTCTGTAGGCCTGCAGGTTGCTGCCACGCCATCTTATCCACGTCCAATGATCCCACCACTGTCAACTCCTGGCCAGCCTAATGCTGTGGTAATGTCCTCTGATAAAAATGTTTTTTTGTTTTGTTTTTTTCAGATAAGGAAAAAGAATTTGTGTATTTTACAAATAATTTTAACATTTTATGCAGGGTCTCACTATGCAGCTCAGACTCATAGTAATCCTCCTGTCTCAACCTCCCCAACTCTGGGATTACAGGCATGTACTACCACATCCGGATTCGGTGGTCTGCATAGCATGCCCAGGGTTCCGGGGCCAGAATGGCATGTGTACAGTACTGGGGATCAAACCCGGGTCCTTGTGCTTGCCATCCAGGCGCTTAGACTGCTGAGCTATCTCCCCAGCCCTTATCAATCTATTTTAGTAGTGGCTTATACATTTATGAGAAATAATTCTCCAAATGCTTTTCTTGTAGATTTCCTAGCACAAACATGTTCATACAGCATTAAATTCTAAGGAGAAATTATGACTTGATTTTAAATGTACTGTAGTGTGTACGGTCTCAGTACTGCATGTTACTGTGCTATAATCATGGTACTTTTCACATCTTTTCCTTGTATATAATAATTGGTAGATGACCTTAGTTCCTTTTTACACCTATGTTTTATTCTTTGACTGTGAGATTGATAATCTCCCTATCACGAGCTCCGTAGACTGATGCTTTTCTTCTTAGCCATGTGTACTGTAACAGCTGATGTTTGTTCTCAAATTATTCATTGTTTTCTCTCCATGTCTCTTTCCCTAGTGCCTCTTACATCACTTATACTTCCCATTGAAAAGAAGTATGTTTATTTAAGAATAAATTGGCGCTTAAAAAATAAAAAGTAATAAAGTAAACCTACACTGTTTTAACTACTGGAGAAATGCATTTCATTATACTATTTCAAAATAATTGAAAACACAAATTTCATAGGAAACATTTTTAATGTATATTAGTGATTTTTAATGCAAAAGCTTTATTACACATAGGCAGATCTTTAAAAGTATGTTATTCAAATTAGGATAAACCTTTCAAATGTAATGCAGCGTATAAAAGATTTCCATTTTTTCAAACAGTTTGCTAATGTAAGAGATCATTTGATTTTGAAAAAAAAAAAAAAAGATCACTAATTTTTAAATATCAGCTATACCTTTGGCTGATTTATATTATCCTTAGCTGATTGTAATCCTCTCCCAAAGTAAGGTGAAGGAGAATTCAGGAGCTCATTGGAATTTATATCCCATCTTTTTTTGAGAAAGAAGGTCAGGAAATAGAATGGAAAAGCCTTCAGTTTTAGGAAGATATTCTTTCAGTCAGACTTTATATTTTGAGCTCCTGGGAAATAAGATACTTATGAATTTTTGTTTTTCCCAGATTACAAACCAAAATAGAGGTAACTTGGCAAATTATCCACTATATTAAATTATCTTTTTAATACTTATGCTGTTTTTATAAGAATTGCTTATAGTTGACTTGTTTTGTTGGGTGCTTTGAGTTCTATTAAGTGTTGTTTGTAACAGAAGATGCTTAGAGATTTTGCATCTGTTTTGTGTTGCATTTGTGTATATATAGAATACATATGTAGTATGTGTTGAAATATGTATGTAGACTTGTACTCAGACACATTTGTAAAGGGAATTAATCATGACTTGGTAGATTTGTTTTTCTAAATTATCTTAAATATAGTAAGAGGTGTCCCATTTATAATGGAAACTTGAATTTTAAATTGTACACTGGTGTTTTAGTTCACGAATTTAATTCATTTCATGCAGATGGCCACACCACGGTTGTGTTCATCACCCAATGCGGAATTCCCAAAAAACAAAATCTGGCTAAACACTTCTGTTTGTGAACCAAATTATTGACAAGACAAAAGCATTTGTGAACTGTGGTACTGATTTCTTTGGTAAAGCCAGAGGCGTCTCAGATTTCTTCTATTCCACGCTTAATATGAAGAAATTTTTAGTAGTCCTTTTCCTGTATTGATCTTTTAGGTCACAACCAGAATTTCACTTAGGAAGTTGTTGTTTATTTTCTCTGTCCAATTTATGTTTTGATGGATAAATTGCTGTGTTTTTTGTTTGTTTTCTTGTAGGGCACATTCACTGAAATCCCTGCTAGCAATATTCGAAGAGTTATTGCCAAGAGGTTAACTGAATCTAAAAGTACTATACCTCACGCATATGCCACAGCCAGCTGTGACCTTGGTGCAGTTTTAAAAGTTAGGCAAGATCTGGTTAGAGGTTAGTAAAGTTGAAATTACTCCATGTTACCACATGTCACCTATGTAAACTGATACGTATATGTAAACTGATATGAAGTCCTTTAAGTGTATATTATGTAGCTTTTAATTTTAATTTTATAATTCAGTTATACTCTAGATATGTTTTAATCCTTTTTTTATGTACTTAGTACAGGGTCTATGGGGTCTCACTACGTAGATCAGACTCATAATGATTCTGTTTTCAGCCTCCCTAGCACTGGGATTACAGGCATGTACCACCAGGCCCAGTCACAGTTGCGCCTGGGGTGGATGGCGGGGTGGGGGGTGGGGGGACAAGGATGTGTCTGCCTAAGCAGGTGCTTTAATCCACTGAGCTATCTGGCCAGCTTTAGCTATGTTTTAATACTAGAGAAAAAGAATTGGTTTTGTTTTCCTATAGGAAATAAATTGACTCCATTGTATTAAATAAATCACAGATATATGACCTTTTTGCAGAATAGGGATTTATGTTCGGCCTTGCTTTATTGCAGAATCTCTTTAGGACATTTTAATAATTTGCATTAGCATTCATTCAGCAGGCAAATACTCAGTCTAACTCTGCCACACACTAAGCTTTACAAATAGTTGCTGGATATTGTTGTTTGAAGCAAAAGTAGGCTTAAAGTATTTTTTTGCTTTAACTTTCACATATGTAAATTGTTTGCAAGGACACATGAATGACTTGCTTAGGCTAAACAGTTGTTAATTTTGAATGCTTTGTGATACGATATCTGAACAAAGTTGTCCTCGACATTTTAGCAAGTTTGAAATCCAAAACTGAGGTTTTAGGTTTTAATATGTTAGATATTATGGTTTATACAAGTTAGAGCTATATATTTCTTCAAAATGCATTTCACATTATTAAATTTATAATGCTCTTCCCAAAAACTAAAAGTTGCCGAGAAACATAGGGACTTTTAGTGTAAAGGTATTATTTTTGTCTTTCCGATCTGTTTTTTTTTTTTTTTTCTTTTTCCAAACTTTTATTTGTGCACATTCAATTGAAAAGATAACTTTTACAGGTTCTTTGGTGCCCATATTCAGCATACAAAAATGTAAAAGACTATTCACAAATGAAACACATTAGCTCAAACTGGAAAAAATAACAATGACAACAATAAAACAAATTAAGGTAGTGCACGCTGTGACAGCTCTGCTTATGGGGACATGAGAATTACTGCGAAAATAAGTAGACTGTCCTCTTGTAAAGCAGCAATATCATGTCTTGTAAACTTCCTTTTTATATTACAGCGAAGACTGAAATAAAATCCAAAGGGACTGGCACTTACATTGTAGCCATGAGTGAATAAAAAGAGTCTCTTTCCTCAATTACTGTTGGTCCAGTTTTCCTTTTGAGTCCAATGTGCAGCAGGTTTTAAAAGGTGCTCAGTTAGAGATTCTAACCAATTTAAGTGATGAGTTATAAAATTTCTTTCCAGCTTTCAAACACAAATGGGTAAATCTGTTCCACAGCAGTAGCCACTGCCTTTACATTGGGCCCTGTCACTGTGATACTTCCTGTTGAAAAAAATCTGTAATGTAGCTCTTAGGGATTTTATCCGATAGCACACACCAGGGTGAAGTTCAGGTTCATAACTGGCATGAGGTCTATTGTTCTTCATGAATTCTGGCAAACAGATTTCAAAGGGCATGTTACAAACTGCCAAAACGTTAACAACCTTAAAATCTGTAAATATTACCTGAAAACCTAGTTTCTGCAGACTACGGGCTAAACGTCGGGCACCAAATTTAGCTTCTTCTTCACTTGTTGCTCCAGTGCAAATAATTTTTCCTGAGGACCAAATCGTAGCTGTAATTCTAGGTTTTCTAAGCTTCATTAATACTTTTCCAACATCACGCTTATAAATAACATTCACTCCCTCCAAAGCAGTTTTCCTTAAGTTCAAATGACATCTTGTTCTAAAAACACAGACTACGTTTGTAATTAAAATGTCCAATGCAACATCACTGTCTGCATCCATTGGGGTAGTTTAAAAACTTGGCTTCCCACCACGAAGTTCACATCCGTGGGAAGACCGGGTGGCCACAGAGGATGTGGCGGCAGCGCTGCTGCCGGTTGCGTCAGATGCGAAGCAGGAGCTGGAGGACGAGAATGAGGATGAGGCGAGCGCGCTCCCCAGTCTCCATGGACCTCCCGCCCTGGCCCATTACTAGGAGCCCCCGGGGCTGGGGCTCTGCCTTCCCTGATTTGTTGTTCCGGGTATGGGGCAGCTGCCCCGATCTGTTTTTTACGTCATTTTCTTGCCTTACTGCACTGGCTTGTGCTTTTGTAACAGTGATGAATATAGGTGGAGCATTTAGTCATTCTTTACTTGTTCTTAATTTGAGGGAAAACATTCAGTCTTTAACATTAATGGTTAAGTGTTTATTAGATTCTCCTTTTGAAGTTGAGGAAATTCCATTCCTAATTTCTCAAATTTTAGAGAGTGAATACATGGTGAATTTTCTCAGTTTTGTTCATCTTTTAAGATAATCTTTTCTATTTCAGTTTGTTAACATAGTAATACTAATCTTAACTTCAAATGTTGAATCAGTTAATTATGATCTGTATCAAATGTTGTTTGATTTCATTTCTTTATAATTTTGTTAAGAATTTTTTCACCTATGCATGTGAAAAACACTGTCCTGTCTTTTCTTGGGTCCTCCTCCTCCCCCCCTCCTTCTCCTCCTCCTCCTCCTCCTCCTCTCCCCCTCCCTTCTCCTTCTCCTCCTCCTCCTCCTCCTCCTCCTCCCCCTCCTCCCCCTTCTCCTCGTCCTCCTCCTCCTCTTCCTCCCCCTCCTCCCCCTCCTCCCCCTTCTCCTCCTCTGTGCAGCTCAGACTCCTAGTGATCCTCCATTCTCAGCATTCCCAGGCATGGGATTACTCGCGTGTGGCCACCACACCCAGTCTCAGTGTGCCCAGGGGTGGAGCTGGCATATGGTGCCTGAAATCAAACCCTGGTCTCTATACTTGCCCAAGTAGTCACTTAGTCCACTGAGCTATCTCACTGGCCCTTATGAAATCTTTCAGAATTGATTAGGAAACGTTTTTTCCTCTTTTGGGAAGAGTTTTGATAGAATTGATGCTATTTCATTTTTAATTGGTTGTAGAATTCATCTAAGAAATTGTCTAGGCCTAGAATTGTCCTTATGAAATCCTTACATGTTCAGTTACTGAGAGGGTTTTGTTGTTGTTGTTGTATTTTAGAATCATATTTTTATAATGTCTTTTAGGAAATATGTTTGTGTCATTTGCATGAGATGCTACATTTATTGGCATAAGTTCACGCAGTATTATCTTACTATACTTTGGCACTTTTATCATCTGAAGTACTACTTATTTGTGTCTTCTCTTTCTTGATCAGTCAGGCTAAATGCTTATGGGTTTTGTTTTGTTTTTTTTTTTAAATTAAGGAACTAATATTTGGTTTAGTTACCTTTCTATACTTTTTCTGTGATTTTATTTTCACCAGTTTTTGCCTTTACCTGTGTTACTAGGAACTCTGTTTGTTTTGTAATTTTGAGGATATTTTATTTTCCTATGTTTTTAATATTCATGTTTAAGTAGGTTTCTTGTAGATAGCATATATAGCAGTAGCTCTGTACTTACCACATTTCAATGAGCAAAAGCACTTTTTTCAGTCTCATAGTAACTCAAGAACAGCGCAAGGGCTGGCCTGATAGTTCAGTGGACTGAAGTGTCTGCTTAGACAGAGTGTAGCGGCTAGGGGTCAATCCCCAGTATGCAGTGCTGGCCCCGGCTCCAGTGTGCACTGAAACTGATTGAGATTGGGCATGGTGGCAGGTGCCTGTAATCCCAGTGCTTGGGAGGCTGAAAACAGGAAAATCACTAGGAGTCTGATCTGTGTAGTGAGACCTGTACACCCTGTAGAGCCTGTCCTAAATACAAAAAAATAAAAAATAAAAAAAAAAGAAAAAAGAAAAAGAGCACAACCCCAAGTATTCATTGTCACCATCTCAGACTTCTGTGCATTTTTAAATGTTAATCGTGGATCACAAAAGGATTATGGGAAATGCCACAGAGCCAGAAAACTTATGTGTAATCCAGTAAAAGTCTAATATTAACATGGTAAAATGTGAAAATTCTGCAGAACCTTCACAGAACTTTTTAGTTTAGTTTTTTTGTTTGTTTGTTTGTTTGTTTGTTTATTTATTCGGTACAGGGTCTCACTGTGCAGCTGAGACTTGTAGTGATCCTCCTGTCTCCACCTCCCTCTTGCTGGGATTACAGGCGTACACCACCATGCCCAGTCTCAGTGGCCAACAAGGTCCTGGGCCAGAATAGCAGATGGTATCCTGGATTAAACCTGAGTCCTTGCACTTGCCAGGCAGGTGCTTAGACCGCTGAGCTATCTCCCTGGCCTAGTTTATTTTTTTGATGGGAAACATATCATTTAGTACTTAACCAGTTTCAGGACTTATCATGAGTACCTGAAGGAGTTTGTGACAAGCATCAAGGTATAACTATAGTTGGTTCTTGTGGGGTTTGTTTTTTGTTTTTTGTTTTTTTTTTTAATAATTCAACTCTGCAATCTGTATTGAGGTGTTTAGATCACTCACATTTAATGTAACAGTCGAAAATCTATCATTAATTAATGTTTGTAAATCTACCTTGTTCTTCCATGTCTAGTTGTCTCATCTCTTCTTCCTTTTTCTCTTCTTGTCGCCTTTTAGATTGGTATTTTTTAATGATCGCATTTTATTTTTATTTTATCTCCTCATACCCCACCCCTCTTAGTAGTGGCTCCTTTGGGGTTTGCAGTGTAAATATTACACTTACCACAGTTTATCTTCAACTTGCAGGAGACTTTCTGCATTATCCTTATATTTCTTCTTTTATCTTTTGCTATTATTGCCACATTATACTTCTTTTTTTTTTGTGGTGTAAGCCAGAATATATGTGTAATATTTTTTGCTTTAGCAAATCAACTATCTTTTCAAGCATTTTTAAGTGAGGAGGAAAGTTTTGTTATATTTATCTATAGTTTTCCTATTTCTGATACTTTTTTTTTATAGTCTAAGATACTTTCTTTTATCATTCCTAATAAACAAGTCTGGTAAATTTTGTCTGCAAAATTCTCTTTCTCTACTTTTTTTTCCCTTTAAAATTGTGATGGTGTAAAATGTACATATATGAAATTTGCCATTTTAAGTGTACAGTAGGTTCCTTGGGCACTAAGCACACTCACAGTCTTCTGTGGCCATCTCCACCATCTATCACAGGGAACTTTTCACCTCATGAAACCGAGATGCCGCCCGTGAAATGCGCTCCCCGTTCCCTCCCTCCAGCCCCTGACCACCGCACTGTGCTTTCTGCTCTTGTGAACTTGGCTATTATAAGTACCTGATGTACATGTCCTTTTACTGGTTTACTTAGTGTAAGTCTTGAAAGTTCATTCATGTTGATATACCTTGTGTCAGAATAGCCTTTGTAATGCGATTTTATTCCATTATACATATGCTCCGTCACCTACTCCTTGACTCATACTTGAGGAGCCTCTAGCTGTTTGATATTGTGAATCATGTTTCTAGGAACGTGAATGCACAGCCAGTACGTGACTGTGGTCTTTTCTCTGTGTACTATGGATGGGGCAAAATGAAAAGCGGGCCGAGAGAGCCGTGCAGGGTAAACAGAATGTGTTCATAAAATATGTTCACCTGTTTGGATTTGAGCAGACCAAAATCTTTTATATGTTGTTGTCATGAAGTCTGTGAATACTGGAATTCCATTTATATTTCTGTTCCAAAAGGAGTATTAAGCATATAAACCAGAATGTTTATATATTTCTGGATATCAGAATTAGAAGAGCTGTGATAGTATACAGCCAACATATACTGTGACAGTTTGGCAGTAATTAAGGTTTATTGGAGGTAATTCCATCTAATCTCTTTCTAATCTCCAGCATACTTTTGGAATGAGCTCTACTTCATGTGAAATACGATGATGCTGTAGTAACAGGATATGTGTTTCTTGCCATGTACTATTGACTAGATCCTGATTTTATGTGTTTTTCTATAAGCTCTGAAGAATCAAGTATGATTCATATTTTCCATACATCCTCATACCCATTGGCAAAGGGAAAAGGATAAATCAAGTTATGATCATCTCCATGGGAAAGATTGGAACCCCAGATTTATCTTAAAATCACTATATATGCTAGAAGGAAATTGGTTCACATGGATTCACCATAAATTGAGACAGAGAACTTCATCTTATTCATTGCAGTAGGGCCTGTGCCAGCATTGCTTTATCTTTGGCACTTGCTATATCCTGTCATGTTGGTTTAGAAAGCCAGCTTCTTCTTTTATGCAGTGGTCTTTTGTTGAACAACGTTAGTAAAAAGTATTTTGAATATTTGTTGCAAATATATGTACGCAGTTGTTTAAAGTACTTACATGTACCACTCTTCTAACATAATCAGTTTCCTGAAGCATGCATGGAGTAAGGGGATTTAAAGACAATGAGGGAAAAAATTATTCCTGTGAACTTCCTGACAGCACACAACACAGAGATCATTTCTGCTTTTAGAGACAGAGGAATGGGTTATTTTCTTTCTGTTTATAGCAGTTATATCCTTCAAGCTTTCATGTATGGTATCTGAGTACTTTTTAAAAACTGTAATCAAGGCTCAGAAATTATTTTTGTGTGTTTGTCTGATGTTGAGAATTGAATCCAGGACTTTGCACATGTTAGGCATGTTCTCTATCAGCTCTACCCTCCACCCAGTCCTTAGAAATAAACCTTTATCATTAATAGTGATTTTAATGTGCTAATTTTCTTTCAGATGACATTAAAGTGTCAGTAAATGATTTTATCATCAAAGCAGCAGCTGTTACTCTTAAGGTAAGAGGGAAATTGCCAGATACTTTTGTCTTCTAAAAGTCTCCTGTCTTGGGATTTTTATAATAAGTATAGATCTTTAAGTTACAAAAATTTCGTAATTTTGTTTAAATATCATTTAATCTTACTGCCTTGTTTTACAGATGAAGAAACCAAGACCAAAGGGCTCCTAATGGAACCATAACAATATAACGACTATTCAACAAATGTCAATTGACTCTATCTTGTGCTAATATATAGTAGAGATACAGAAAGAAACAGGAACCTACTTAGTTTTTGGCTCTTCTTGGGTTTCTATCTTAGAGAAAACAATTATGTCAGATGATAAAGGTGCTAAGGAGGAAAAACCAGCAGAATAAGGGACTGTCTCAGTTACTTTCTCATTGCTGAGGCAAAATACCCAGCACCCACATTGAAGGAGAAGAAGCTTCTTCCAATGCAGTTTGTGGAGGCTGCAATGTGTGTGTGGTCAGCTGGCTCCACAGCAGGGAGGCCTGGCATGGTGGAGAAACAGTCTGTGGCAGAGCAGGCAGGCGGCGGGGAAGTGAAGCATTGAGGCAGGTCTCCCTTTCACTTTTATCCCATCCAGGCTACACAACTTTGGGGAGGCACACCTGGCGTGGGCATTCCCACTGCCAACACAGAACGGTGCGAAACCAGTTCCTCAGTGGGGTACTTTAGCCACCACACACCCTTGGTCCACATTCACATTCACACACCCTGGATCCAGCCAGTCTGAAATGCCCCAGAGAACATGGGAGGCCTTGAGGGAGCAGCCAGCTCCAATCTGCAGAGTCCAAAATAGCTGGGGTGCTGATTTCAAAAGTAAAGGAGGCTTTTCTGACAAGGTGACCAAGGAAACAGACTAAAGAAGATGAGTCAAGTAGGTTACTGATAGAAGAGCACCCTAGGCCGAGGGACCAGCAAACATGGAGGCTGTGAAGAGTGTATCATGCTACCCAGAGACAGCACTGAGGATGTAAAATGTGTAGGGTGTAGTAAGACAAGTCAGGAAATGAGATGGTTTGGTTTGATTTTGTGATAAATTAGCCAGAAGTCTTCTGGAAAGTTTTGAGCAAAAAGGACTGTTGTGGTCTGATTTACTTTTGAAAGAAATGGAGAGACTACTCTGTTGGCTGTGGGAAGAGGCCAGGGTAGGAGTAGGTACTGTCTAGGAGGCTGCAGAGGATGACCATGACTGTGACCCAGGGGAGAGTGGTGGGCTGGGGTGAAGTGGAGGTTTAAATTACACTTGAAGCACAGCAAGTAGGATTGGCTAATGGATTTGCTGTGGGCATTCAGGGAAGAAGTATGGATTTGGGCCTAAGCAGTGATAAGAGTGGATTTTTCCATGTATTGAGACGGAGAAAACTGGGAGAGTGACAGCTTTAAGGAGGAAAGCTCGAGTTTGGTAATGGATATGTTGAGTTTGAGGAACCTAATAGATACCCAGTGTAGAGTGCAGGAAGACAGGTGAAGTGGAGGTGACAGGTAGGAGGTGTAAATGTGTAACTTCAGTTTCCTGCCTTCCTATTCCTGACCTCTTTCTCTAATGAGCCTATTTTCAGGATTGCTGCCTTTGATTTACAGTATGGGTAAATGAATTCATTTTTATTTCTCAGAAAAGAACAAGCTTGAAAGCCATGTCATTTGAACATGTATCTTCATAGGACTTCTCTTAGCCAAGTGTTTTAAATTATATTAATGATTTTCTAATTGTGACTCATTGTTCCATTCCTTAAATGAATCTCTAAAGATCATTAGCTATAGTTCATTGTATAATTTATATTAGGAACCAAAATAATTATAATTTAAATTTCATGTTAGCCAGTCTTTTTGTTTAATTTTAAAACTGCTTTATTTATTTTATTTTATTTATGTGTGTGTGTGTGTGTGTGTGTGTGTGTGTGGCCAGCTCAGCCCGCCTGGGGGCGGGGCTGGCTGGCATGTGGTGCTGGGGGATTGAACCGCGGTCCATGTGCTTTGCTAAGCTTGTTCTAAGTAGGTGCTTTAGACCACTGAGCCATCTCACCAGCCCCTTAAAACTGCTTTATTAAATACATTTAGTTCTTTTTGCTTTTTCTTTATCTGTGCTTATTTTAATTAAATACAAAAGTTTTTTCTTACAGAAGTTTTATAGAATTTACCAGTACAGTATCTGAGCCTAGACTCATAACTATATGGGTCTATTTAATTTTCAACTTTCTCTTAATTATGGAAGCCTATATTTGCCTAGAAAACCACCTATTTCATCTAGATTCCCAGACTTTCCTAAAATATTTACATTTATTTTTTATAATTCTTTTAGTGTTCTCATTGAATTTATTCTAAACTCTGTCTCGCTACTATTGCATATTTGTTTTCTCAGTTTATTTTTTTATTACATATTTTTTAAGGTTCATTCTGGTTAGAAATATTTGGTCAGCAAACTTGAATTATAGTTTAAATTCTATTTATAAATAAGATTTATAATGATGTTTTCCTGTAGATACAAGTCAGGCCATGTTGCCTAGGTTTTTAATACATTTCTCACTAAATTATTTTGATTATTTTGTCAGATACGCTCCATTATAAATATTTTTGGATTTTGTTCTTTCCATTATTTTTATTTTACTTAACAAATGTTTATTAAGAATTTAAAACCAGTCTGGGGAGATAGCTCGGCAGTCCAGTCACCCACCTGGCAAGTGCAAGGACCTGGGTTTTATCCCCCATACCACATGGTGTGCTGACCAGCAGAACCAGACATGATGGTTGTTATGGTTTATGTCTAGTTGTCCCCCAAAGCCTCATGCAGTCATGGGGTAAGGACTTCTAGAGTTTGTGTTAACATGATCCACTGGGATTATGTGTGATCCAAGGCTGGGATTATGGGTCTTAGTACTGCTGGGACTACCCATAGGTGGGTAAGTACTGGGAAGTACCCATAGGTGTGAGTACTTCCCCTACCCTGGGGCAGGGGATTTGCATTACAACATAAGGTGGGAAGAGAAGCTAGCTGCTTGAACTGCTGCTACCCCTCCCTTGCGCTCTTGCTCTTTGCCACCACCATGAAAGGTTGCTTTCTGCTGTGTGCTGTTCTGCATTGGACCCAGCTGAGTATGGACTGAAGCCTCCAGTAACTGTGAGCTAAATAAACCTTTCCTTCCTTCATTTTGAGTGTCGGGTATTTGTCCCAGCAACGAGAGAAGAGTAACTAAGACAGAATTTTTCCTTCCACCCCTGGACCCCCAAAGTCTCATGCACATCCCTTTGTGCAAAATACATTTTAGTCCATCTCTAAGAGTTGCCAAAGTCCCACCAGTTTCAATATTACTGAAAAGTCCAAGTCCCAAGTCTCCTTCAAGATCCAAGGCAAACTCTTAGCTGTGAGCCCCTGTACAAAAGAAAAGTTAAACACATTCAACATTTAAGGGCACAAGATAAACATTACCATTCCAAAAGGTACACACAGCAGGATACCAACATTGGGACCAACACAAGTCCAGAAGCCAGCAGTAAGTCCTGCAGTTCCATGTAGACCATCTGAAGCAATCTGCGATAAGTTGTGAGCTCCAAAGGCCTTATATGGCTCCACCCCTATGGCACTTCTGCTGGTAGCTCTTATGGCTTCTCTCTTCGGCCTGTTTTGCTCCCTTTTTGCAGCTTTTCTTAGACCATCCACATTCCTGGCTTTTTCAAACTTCTGAGGTTTCCAGTGAGTAGGCTTCTCACTCACAGCTTCACACACTGCCCTCTCAGGCACACTGCCTGGCCTCCCAGGCCTTCTTCTGAAATTGGGGCAGAAGCCTTCTGAACCTCAGAAGTCCTGCATTCTGCATGCACCTACAGCCACCAAAGCCACGTGGATGATGCCAAGGGCTGCTGCCAGCTGGAGCAGTAGCCAGGGTTTCCTCTTGGCTGTACGGGTCGAGTGCCTGGATTGCTGAGCACTCTGACCCTGATTCTGAGAAACAAATTCTCTATGCGGGTGCCATTCTGCAATCTGATGTGGCCACTGCCTCCATTCTGGAACCTGGTGTGGCTGCTGCGTCCATTCTGGAACATGGGGCTCTGCAGCTTTCTCCTCAAAATGAAGTCCCTCATCCTTGCCATTCTTAGGCTGTAAAGGGCAAGAACCTGCCACCTCCTGTGATGCCCTGGGGACATCTTTTCTACTCTCCTGTTCCTTCTCTGCAATGGAGATCCTCTCAGCTCTGTCTTCACAGTCCACAGCTTTCCTGGAGCTTCCTTTCTGGCCAAACTCACAACATTTTAAATCATCCTTTTGGGCTCTTTGCTCTTGATTCTCAAAATAAATCTGGCTAAAAGCCCCCAGTAACAACCAGGCCACTGCCCCAATATTTGGCTGCCTTGAAATTTCTTTTGCTAGATTGATCAGTCCGCCATGCTTAAACTCAGTCTCAGGCAAAGTCTCTGGGCATGAGCAAAACGCAGACAACTTTTCTGCTAAGTCAAAACACAAATGATCCGGAGTCCAACAACCAGTACAGTATTTACCAGCAGAAACCTCCTCAGCCTGGTCTTTACAGGCTGGCTTCCAGACAGTCTTCTGGTCTGAGCTCTGACCAGAATCTCCCAAACAAAACAGCCGAAGCTGTTCCAGCTCTTCGCAAGTAGAGGACATCTCCAAACCTTTCCTATCTCTTCCCATAAGCCATTCCCAAAAGCTTGTAATCCACATGGTCAGGTTTATCCACAGCAACGACCCCACTCCTGGTACCAAATTCTGTCTTAGTTACTCTTCTCTCGTTGCTGGGACAAATACCCGACACTCAAAATGAAGGAAGGAAAGGTCACAGTTACTGGAGGCTTCAGTCCATACTCAGCTGGGTCCAATGCAGAGCAGCACACAGCAGAAAGCAACCTTTCATGGTGGTGGCAAAGAGCAAGAGCGCAAAGGAGGGGTAGCAGCAGCTCAAGCAGCTAGCTTCTCTCCCCACCTTACATTGTAATGCAAATCCCCTGCCCCAGGGTAGGGGAAGTACTCACACCTATGGGTACTTCCCAGTACTTACCCACCTATGGGTAGTCCCAGCAGTACTAAGACCCATAATCCCAGCCTTGGATCACACATAATCCCAGTGGATCATGAGTTAACACAAACTCTAGAAGTCCTCACCCCATGACTGCATGAGGCTTTGGGGGGACAACTAGACATAAACCATAACAGTGGTACATGCCTGTAATCCCATCACTGAAACGGGAGGATCACTATGAGTCTGAGCTGCATAGTGTACCAAATAAATAAATTAAAAATTAAGAATAAAAGAATTTAAAACTTTTTGAGGCATTCAGACTTGTTTTTTCAGTCTTTTCTGAAGTTTTGGTATTGTTCAATGAATGAATGATCTGAGCCTTAAAAGATGAAGAAATCTAAAGAGCAGTTGAAGTAGATGTGGAGGTAGTCCTAAGCGTAAGTGAGCAGGCCTGTGAGTAGTTGGCATAAAGTTGCAAATCCATTTTAGGGAAATGATCACAAGTAAAATTAGGCAGAGCAGGTGAAATTGTACATTGCCATGTTGCAGGGACATAATGGGAGGCTTAGATCTTATTTTGTAGAAAACAATTTTCAAAATGCAAAATGAGTTTTTTGAATTTCTGTTTTTAACACTATTTTATCCTTGATATCTGGCAACATCAATACATTCAATAATTTCTTCTGTTCTTTTCATACTTCGATGTTTATTTGTATGTCACATGCATATGTGCATATATATTATAGTGTGCTATATTTGAAGCTTAGGAATATGTTTTTAAACAAGAGAGTCATTTGCTAAAGGCTTATTAATATGTATTCCAAAGTTGTGCTTAAAAACTCAGACTTCCTTCATGCCAAAGGAATGTGATTGAATATCATACCCTTTCCTGCTCCCTCTTCCCCTCAAGGTCCTATCTGTCATCATAGGAGTCAGGATGTATAACAAGCATTAACTATCTTCTGGCAGTTAGGATTAATAAAAGAAGTCTGCTTAAAAAAGAAAAAAAAAAAAAAGATATTTTTAAGTGTCCTTCCCAAACACAGATAACACAGATCCAAATCATTCTTTCCAAGTAAATTTGTTTACTTTTCTGTCAAATTATATTCACTTTTAAAAATGCATAATAATGTAAATTGTTTACCTGTAGTCACCTTGGTCTAAAGCTGCTTCTTCAGTAACATTTGTTCCTTATTTCTAGCAAATGCCAAGTGTTAATGTGAGCTGGGATGGAGAGGGACCGAAACAGATGCCCTCTGTTGACATTTCAGTGGCTGTGGCAACAGATAAAGGTTTAATTACACCAATCATAAAAGATGCTGCAGCTAAGGGTGTGCAGGAAATTGCCAACTCTGTAAAGGTATGTCCTAAATATTATACTTTCAAAATGTGAGGATAGATTTTCTAATTACTTTCTGATAGTCTTGATCTGGTTTGGTCACAGTGTCGGGGGGTTTGTGTGTCAGTGTGTGATTTATTACAAGTGATCTTCACCTGTGTATGTAGGCTTTTAAATTTTTACCCAGGTATGACCCATGCTAAGAAAATGTAATGCTCATAAAATTTAGAAATATAAACTTGTAGAGTCCAGAATTCAGTCCCACAGATGCTGAAGTGAAAGCATTTCTACAAAAATGACAATGGCTAGACCTCAGGACCAACATTCTTAGGAAAGTTTATTGTATTCATTTTCTCTATAAATTTTTTCTTTTTTTTATATTTTAGGGAAGGGTCTACAGGGTGTTCAGGGTCTCATTACTAGATTGGACGTGTAGTGATTTGCCTGTTTATAGCCTCCCAAGAGCTGGGATTACAGGCATGTGCCACCACGCCCAGTCTCAATTGCCATATCGGTGCCCCAGGGGCAGGGACTGCATGGCAGGCCCAGGGATTCTCTGTAAAATTGAGACCACTAAAAGCAGTTACAATTTCAGAATTTTGCCTGTACTTTATTCTTTAGAAAGCGTTTACTGAAGCTCACAGGTGAAAGAACCTAATTCACCAAAAAATGCTGCATTGGATAAGCAGGAGCACAGTGATTTCCCAGGATGTTTCAGGGGTGGAAGCATCCAGGTCTTGAAGTATTTGTGTTGGAAACTTTAAGATTCTTGCTGGTGATTATGTTCAGTGGTAGAAAACAGTTACAAAGTTATGTACCCATCAGTAGTGAGCTTACTTGGAATTTTAGAGTGAGGAACAACTGAAAAGCAACTTATCAGAATTGACCTTTTTAGGTTGTTGTTGAAAAGATTTGCAGGATATGTTTATGTAGATAAAAATGCAACTGTTTTTTTTTAATTGAAAGGTGGTATTAGTTTGACCAATTCAAAAGTCAAAGTAATAGATTGTTTTAGCAGGATGTAATAGTATTGGCTCCCCTTTGTTCATGGAGGATATATTGCAAGACCTGCAAATAGATACCTCAAGCAATCCTGTTTGTATTGTGTTTTTTCATGTTTATATATCATCAGTGATTAGGCAGAGTAAAGATTAATATTAACTAATAATAGAATTGTAACAGTGAACTTTAAGAAAATTGCCAGCATCATTACTCTTGTTCTTTGGGGCCATTTTTTCAGTAACAGGAGAATTACCTGAACACAACTGCTAAGTGACTAATTGGCAGGTAGGGAATACAGCATGGATACTCTGGACAATGAAATGATTCACATCCTGGGCAGATCAGGGCAAGATTTTATAATTCTACTCATAACAGCATGGAATTAAAAACTTACTGTGTGTGTCTGAAATTTTCCATGTAGTGTCTTAGAACTGAGATTGATTGACCAGTTACTGGAACTAGAAAGTGAATACAGGGGCTATTGTTCATGCCTTTTGTGAATTGTTTTTAACAGCACTAATACATACACTGTTTCAATGTTGCTGGGCAGTTAAGCTGAGATTAAGTGTCGAAATAGCTTGTAAAGCATAAAGTACTGTATGTGAGTTAGTAAATTCAACTATAGAGCTAAAATTCTCATGTATGTAATGTATGTATATTAAATTTAAAAATTTAACCATCATGGGATGGGCTGTATGATCCTAGACATTTTAGAGTTGTGCTACTGTAATACATAATTCTTCAAACAGCTATGTTAGAATTCTTTTTCACCCTAGAAGAACCTAGTGGGACAGTTTCAGCATTCCCCCAGCTGGGCCTCATAGCAACAGGAGGACAGTCAGAGCCTTGGGAATATAGCTGTCTCCGATAGCCCTTGAACACCACCTTTTACATTGAGTTGAACTGCCAGCACCTTCGGGTTTGCTAGGCTCTGGCTCCTCCATGCTTCTGCTCTCTCTCTCTCTCTCTCTCTCTCTCTCTCTCTCTCTCTCTCTCTCTCTCTTTCTCTCATGTTCCAACCTCAGTCCTCTGATATGCCAGGCACTGTGCTAATGCTTCATTTAATCTTGTTAGCTTTCCCACCATTCATCTGTCCTTTTGTTTTGTCTGCCTCTTTCCCCCCTCTTCCTCTTCCTTCTTTCCCTCTCCCCCTTTTCCTCCTTCTCTTTGCCACCTTTTGTCTTTCTTTTTCTCCTAGATACCAAATAAGAGGTTTTGGTTTGCCCTACCACATGCATTCTTATATGAAGTCTCTCTTGGGGAAGTCTCTCTTATGTGACACCAAGCCACTGGTCATGTGATACAAAGCATAATAACCTTTCTGGTTCTAACTACTGTGGTTCTATTTAGAAGGACTAAAGACACAGAGGCATGCCAAGACTTGAGGAGAAGCGTGTGCCTGACTGGCTTATTCAGCCAGATGTACTCAGATGTCTGGTTTAAAGGAGAGAGGAGAGTCATGGGGTATATGAGAGGGGTATGGATCTGGTTTTTTTCACAATTTTTTTTTTTTTTTTTTTTTTTTTTCTGAAATGGCTTGGGCAGTATAAACATTACTTATTTTTAAATACCCTAAATTTGGATGGTTTGTCTCATTCGGTGTTACTTAGAAATTGTGATGTTTTAGATATTCCTCACAAAGATAATGTTCATTTAGTAGTTGTGGACTATCATGTATTGAAAAATGCTTACATATCAGTGAGAAACTTGAACTGTATGTGTCCTTCATATCCAGTACGGATTTTGGCTCTGTTCAGATCACTCAAGAGTATATTGGAATTTCTTACTGTGCAGGAGACAGCATCCACCTGGGTATCCAGCCGCAGCTATAGGTCTCTTAGTCATGAAAGTATTTACTATCCTGTTTTTATGTCTACTACAAAAACACAGTAAACAAGAAATGTTCCATTTATGGAAGAGTGTCATTTTTTCATTTTGAATCTTGCTGTTTTTATATCTAGCTTTGTAGTATGGCTGGTTAAATAGTGTAGCACTTATATAATTGAAGAGACAAACTACTGAATTGTTTTAATTCTAGAAATAAAACCCACTTCAGACCAGACAGAATTAATCTAGCTAATTCCTATACGAATGTAGTACTGGCCTTGGGGATGTGGCTCAGTGAAAGAGTGCTTGCCTACCATGCATGGGCCCTTGTATTTGTTCTCCAGCATGGCAAATAAAAAGCTCTATCCTATAAATATAGTTATTTATGTAATCTTATAATTTTGTTTAAAGAATATTAAAGATTTTTGTATAATACTAATAGTAATAACAGTAGCAGCTGGCATACTCTACAGCTTCGGTTGTAGGCTTTTATGTATTAACTCATTTTAGTCCTCCTCTTGAGCACAAAATAATAATTCGGTATCATGTTGGTAAATAATAAGGAAAAAGAAAGTTAAGTAATTTGTTCACAGCTTGCTGAGGTATAAGATCTGTTAGGTGATAGAGCCAGTGCTTGAGCCCGTTAAAATAATTTGATTGTAGACTTGAGCCTGTGTCCCAAGCACTAGCCTTGGCTGCTTTTCAGATAGTAATTATAAAATCATATTTGTCTGTATTGGTGAGTTTTGCCCAAAACCAGTAGTGTTCCCACTCAAAAAATATTTGGGAAGCAAGTCCCAGATTTCAAGAAATGAACAAGTCAAGCATAGCTGAACAGTGAACAGTTAGACCAAACGCACTGTAATTAGTTGACTCACTATAGCAAAAAAAGGAAAACCGGTATTGGTGTGTTGTAAAACCAGTCTTGTGATTTGAAACTTGAGAGCCATGGCTGGAACACAAAGGGCAGGAAAAAAGAGACCTGATTTGTGGAGCGGTCTATAAAGAAAGAAGCTTGGAGATTGAAGTGGCAGTATGAGGCTGCGGCTGTAGCAGGCAATATAGGAGCACCGCAGTGCAGAGGTGGGGCAGGAGCAACCTTGCAGGGCTTGGAGAACAGAGACCTTGAACTCTGGGCTCTTGGTAGCAATGCAGAACTTACATAGGGTGCTCATATTCTGTCTCATCACTCTGTTTTGTTGTCATTCAATAGAAGTGTATTAATCTATGAAATTACCTTGTTCGTTTATTTGTTGGTTCTTTGGTGTTCCCTACTGTCAGAGGTTGATTGTCTTGTTCATTACCATATATCCAGTTCTGGAAGACTGCTTGAAATATGGGAATTGCTCAGTGAATTTTTTTTTTTTAAATAAAAATGATTTTGTTGAAAATTTTTCAATGTTTGTAGATCCGTCCCATCAAGCCATCTAATAGATGCCTAGTACAGAACACTTTTCTATACATTTACTTCTTGATCCCGTATGCCCCCAAAGGATGTCAGTGTGTGGATTAAAGGCATGCCCAAGCAAGCTCAAGTATCTATTCTTTGAGTACAGTAATACAGTAAAAAGCCTTAGTTCCCATGCTATGCTTGATTCTTCACTAATTATAATGACTTTAAAAGGCAGAGGCCAATTTGCCTTTTAAGTAGCCAGTAAAAATTTGACTGAATTAACAAAGCAAGCAAAATAGAATTATTTACTAGGCATCTTCCTGCATCCATTTAGCTGGATGCTTAAGATAATAAGTTCAGGAGTTTAAATTCCAGGTGCCAGAAGATCTCAGTGAGAACTAGGAGTCTTCAGAACCAGTGATCCTCCTCGAAGTTTATACATATTCGAGTTGCTTGTTAGAGTTGATTGGTGGGAATAACCTGAGGAGGTCTTGACAGTCAGTCCACAGAGATTTGTTTATAGTATCTACTATGTATGATTGAAACTAGTTCTCAGAATGAATTCTGATGTTTTATTTGTTCCAGCATGGTGGCATATGAGGCCATGTTGATGTGCTTTTTAAAACAATGTCTTGTAGACTTCATGATACATATCCATTCTGGTCATTTGTGCAGTTGTATTGCTTAAGGTTGAAAAGGTGAATTTGTAGGTTCTATTTCTGATATTCCAAAGACTCAGTGAAAGCTCATCTCTTCATTTTTCACTTAAAAGTCAAATAATTTTCTTCCTATATCCAAAAAGTATAAATCTGTAATTATTCCAGCTAGCAGTGAGTCTCAGTAATATGTTGAAATCAATTGTAGCTTTAGTGTTAAAAAATTTTAAGTCTGTGATTCAGTATTAAATAATTATTAGCTGTGATTGTCATAGCGCCTGCTTTGGCTGCGTAATACAAAATATTAAGTCAACCCCAGATTTAATCTACCCAAATGACAGTGACTTCACTTTTTCCTGCCCTTCCCTCACAAGTTAATTTATCATTAATTTTTAATGTATGATGACTCAGTCTCTGTCCTCTTCTTGCTTTTGAAGCATTCCAAAGATAAACAGAAGTGTGGTTAACTCCAAGGGCAACCAAGAGGCCAACTCACTTTTCTTGCTGCCCCTCCCAGTGTCATCTGTCCTCTGTCTGTACACTTTCAGAAGTCAGTACTAAAAGCTGGATGAAGTTAGTTCATTCTTACATTCCCTGTGGCAGGGTGAATTGGACTTGCTCGCTTAGGAAATGTAGCTGTAGGAGGACACTGTAATTTCATGTCTCAAAATTTATTTGAAATCAAGAGAAACCAGTAAACCAAATTATAACACTGGGAAAGTGACGAAGAAAATTATGATAGATGTAGTCCTTTAAAATAATCTTTCTTTTTTTAAGGGAAAGGTGTCAAAAGGTGAACCCAGGGCCTTTGCTCTGTGCCACATCCCCATCCCTCCACCTTTAAAAAAATTGTTTTTAAATTTTGAGACAGAGTCTCACTAAGCTGCCCAAGGCCAAATTTGTGATCTGCCAACCTCAGCTGTATAGGAAGCTGGGGCTGCAGGTATGCATCGCCGCACGTGGAAGGTGCAGACATTAAAAATCATCTGTGCATACTGACAGCACATACAGTATTAAGAAGTGCAATACAGCATTCTGGTGTTTTCTGTACCATTGTCTGAAGTTATGTATGTTGTAGATAAAGGAAACACTGAAGGATTAAAACTCATACACTAGTTATGAAGTTGTGGCTGTTTCTGGTTGCCATTGAATAATTTACTTGAAACCTAATAGATTGACAACAGTGGCTTCTTTTAATATTTTTATTTTACAAGAGTAAAACCCTTATAGGCAAAGTAGACAGTTACATTTTTGTATATATAGAAAAAAGTAAAGTATTCTACATAATATCAGTGCAGAGGGTAAATACAGAATTTGAAAAATAATTTAAGAAGCTTTATTATGAAGCTTCTTAGGTTAGCTGTTCTAACTTCTTTATTAAAATTTTATTAGAGAAAATTTATATATAATCATGTTAAAAACTCAAAATATAAGACACAGCAGAGAACAAATATTTAAAGTAACACAATTTACTGTGTAACCTTTTTTGTTGTCATGCTGTTTTTGTGTGTTTCTCAGGTTCTGTCCAAGAAAGCACGAGATGGAAAGTTGTTACCTGAAGAGTACCAAGGAGGATCCTTTAGGTAAAATGGAAGTTCATTATCATCATTAGTATCTAACAGATACATGTACAATTTATTAAACCCATGTCAGTAAGTCTTATTTATCTGAAAGATTTCTAAAGTTTAAGCTAAATATCACATGCCTTACTTAGCTAACAATATGTGAAAGTACTTTTGAGACTAGTAAAGTTTTCAAGTCAAAACTGCAGGAGTGCGTTAGTGTTGAATAAACATTTTGAATGGACATTGTCTAGTATGGAATGACATGTGGGTTTTTTCTTTTATTTATTTATTTATTTTTGTGTTTAGGACAGGGTCTGTAGGGTCTACAGGGTCAACCTGTATAGATCGGACTCATAGTGACCTTCCTGTTTACAGCCTCCCAAGTGCTGGGATGACAGGCACAAGCCACCACACCCAGTCTCAATTGCAGTGTCAGTGCAACTCCCGGCTCCTGTGTCTGCCTGAGCAGGCACTGTAATCTGCTGAGCTATTTGGCTGGCCTGACATGTGGGTTCTTAAACTTATTTTTAAAATAAATTTATGACCAAAGAAAGATGTAGAACGTTACAAGCATCCCAGAACCTTCCTTTTCTCCTTGGTAATCATTATCTACTCCCCAGAAGGAACCACCATCAGAAGATGATTATAGATTTGTTTTGCTTGTTTTGGTTTTTATGTAAATACTATGTATTCTTTATTGTCAGATTTATTTTTCTTATCACTAATATCTGATTTACCATATTTATTTCTGTGTGAAGCAGCTATTCATTTTTTTAGTATATAGTTTTCTGCTATGTAGATGTACCTGTACCAATTCTACAACATTTCTTTTTTTTTTCGGAACCGGGGATTGAACTCAGGCCCTTGCGCTTGCCAGGGAAGCACTTATTCCACTGAGCCATCTTCCCGGCCCCTTCTACATTTCTGTTGTTTGCAGGTTGTTACTATTATAAGTAATGGTGCTGTGGACAATCTTGC